GAAGAGAAGAGAAGAGAAGAGAAGAGAAGAGAAGAGAAGAGAAGAGAAGAGAAGAGAAGAGAAGAGAAGAGAAGAGAAGAGATGGGAAGAGAAGAGAAGAGAAGAGAAGAGAAGAGAAGAGAAGAGAAGAGAAGAGAAGAGAAGAGAAGAGAAGAGAAGAGAAGAGAAGAGAAGAGCTCTGACTCCTTCGACCACCGGACTGGGAAAAGAGACTTCTAACGCATCTCGGTGTCACTCTGACCAGCAGAATTCCCAAGACCTCCCCATGCCTCAGTTAGGGAGGCACACCTGCCCAGCTCTGGGCCTCGCTGTGCCCTGCAGGAGCCCCGTTCCCTGTGCCAGGCTGGGGCTGAGCTGGCTGCTGCCCCGAGTTATCTCCGCAGAGGCTGCGGCTGCCTCTGCTCTGTGGGCACAGAAGGAGTGGTGCTCCAGGGCGGAGACCCTTCCTTCGTTAATGCAGGCACAAAGAAAACATTAATGAAATCCGTATTGGCAGGTATTTCAAAACAATGGAGACAGACTGGCTTTTCTGCTGTGCCTAGATAAACAGGTGCACAGCAAGTCCAGCTCCTCTCACGTCACGGTAACAAACAGGAGCCAAGCACCTCTCCGAGTCCCCTGGAGATTGTTTGGAAGGGTTTCAGGCATCCACAGTCTGGAGAATTCTAAAGAATTCACCATCAACTAAAAGTCTATTTGACCACAACTGTGAATTTTCCTCTGTGGCTCAAGAAAACAGCAAATTAACAACATTAAATGGATTTTACAGAGAGGTGAACAGCAAAGAACAGGCTTGCAGACATATGCAGATATTTTTTCTGTTTAAGCCACAAATCCACTCTGTATTTTGTGTCATCCAGAGAGGAGGACGCTTGCTCTGTATGAACCTTCTCTCCCTCCTGCAGGGAATCACCGGACTTGTGTTTGGCTTGGAGCCTGAACAAGCCACACAAGAGCTCCTGAACAGGGAGGACTTTGTGTTCAGGCAGGTGCCAGCACTTTCCTTCTTTATCAAGCAAAGGGAAAGATCAAATCAGAGCTGAGATTGCTTTGTGGAACCCATTTGTGATTTTTGAGTCTGATCCAAAGGTCACTGAAATTAATGGGAATCTCTGCTGATTTCTCTGGTATCCAGACCACTGTTTCTAAAGAAAAAGCTGCTAAATACACAGCAGACCTCACCCTTGAAAACCTCTGACCATCTGCATGGTGGATCCACATGTCTTGTGCGTGCCCAGTGTGAAGATGTGGTGGGAGCAACTGGTATGTGTTCTTCTCTTGGGAATAGAAATTCACTTTTATTGAATTTTCAGAGACAATAAGGAAAAAAAAAAAAAAACAATGGATGCCATCAATATTCCCAAAGTGAATAGTCTTATTTTTTAAAAAAATAACATGTGAATAAATATTCCTCTTTTTTCTTTTTATCCTGGTGTCACCTCACCCCAAGCTCAGCTTTGTGGCGAAGCTTGAGATCGCAGTGTGGGGAGCTGTGGTGGAGGAGGAACACCTTATCCCACGTGGCTTGGGTGCAGTTCCAGCCCTGAGAGCTGCCAGCACTGATAACAGCAGCCCCAGGGAGAGCAGGAGAGGCAGCCAAGTGTGCACAAGGCCACAGAGGCACACACCACAGGTCGCCAGCATGAGAGCTGGGAGCCAGGACAGAGCTCCTCTGCACCACTGCAGGTCTTTTACTGCTCTGGGATTTAACAGTGAATACTTGGCTGCCACTCTGGGGATCAAAAACTTCACGTATGAGGGTGTGCATCAAGGATAACATTACTGTAATGAAGAAAAAAGCCCTCTCAAAATTGAACCAGATAATCCAAGGCAGCTGGGTAAAACAGTGTCAAAATGCATTTAGAATTATAGAATCACAGAATCATATGGGTTGGAAGGGACCTTAAAGCCCATCTTGTTCCAGCCCCCTGCCATGCTCATCTAAGCATAAACTCCATGGACAAACCTCCTGGAGGAAAGAAAAGCTACAGGTGATAGGAAAACAGAGGAATGTCCTACAGGAGCTCTCCCAAGAGCTTTTCTGAGCAGAGTGATTCTGCTTTAAAAGCCAGCAGGGTGAAAGTTTTTATCATAGAGGCTCAGAGAAAACACTTTACTTTGTTTTTCTTAATTCCTCGGTGATACACTCTGAAAAACACAGTTTTTCTGAAGAGGAGCTATTTTTTGTACAATTTTTTGGTATAAATCTTTTGTAAATTTTTTTGTATAAATTGCAAAATTTATACCAAATTTTGGCACAGTTGCCTCAAGGTTTTACACCACATAAAAATTATGGAATAGGAAAAATAACCCCGAGGAAATCTGAACTCTAAAAGGCACTGGGATAACACTTAATCAGTGTTACAAAAGAAAAGGTGTAGCAATTTTTTTTTTGCTATTAATAAGCAAGGCCTTATCCTGCTTGCCATACCCAGCTCAGACAAAACTTCTTGATCTTTACTCTAACACCTTGAAGAAACCTATTCTGTCAGAGATACCTTTTTTAATAACCATCAAGGTATTTATTCCAAGGTATTTATTCATCAATGTGATCAATCTCAAAAGCAGTAAATGGTCAGGTGTGCTGTCTGCTTCAGAAAACTTGTTAATGACTCACAAGGCCAGGCTGGACGTGGCTGGGAGCAGCATAAACCAGTAGAAAATGTCTTTGCTTATGGCAGGGGGTGGAACTGGATGAGCTTTAAGATCCCTTCCAACCCAAACCAGTCCAGAATTGTGCAGATTGCACCTTCCATTTTACAGCGAGCCAGCAAAAGGCAGAAAGGGTCTTTGACAGAGATGGCTTGAAGGCACATAAAATGTTGGCCCTGAGAGAAGCCCTGTTCCCGTTTCCTGGAATAAGGAAAAGCACATGTATTCATGCTTGTGCTTGGTGCACTTCTTCACCAACAAAAACAGCTGTGCTAAAGGATCTCAGAAGCAAACAATGCCAGCCCTGGGTCCTGGAGAAGCACCAGCACACCTGGAACACAGAGCCCACCTGGGAGGTGTTGTGGGCAGCTCATGGACACACAGCTGTGGGGTAACAAGCAATACTCTCATTCCACTTGGAATTTCAACCCACAGCTCAGTGTGCAGTGGGTTTTGCCATGCTCAGGGGATTTTGGTGTCCAGAAGGCCAAAACTGTGGGGCTGCTGCTCCCCTTTGCATCTGATAGCGGCTGTGCAGGCGATGTTTGGTCTCTTACGCAGGTTTCCGCAAGGTGTTGACGAGCTGCACGTCACACGTTAGAAAAGCTGAGTGTTTGCTTTCCACATCAACACGTCATTCGTGTTGTGCTAAGGGCAGCAGCAGGGCTGCTCTGTGTGTGAGCAAATTAACAGTGGCTGGGACAGTCCCCACGGGGCCCTGGGGAGCTGCGGCCACATCCATGGCACTGCCACCTTCCAGCTCGGGCTGGCCACATCCAAAGTGCCACCAAAATTTCATGTGACCCCCCCCAGCCACGCTGGGATGGGCTCCAACACAGCCCTGCCAAGGCACTGCAGAGAGGCAGCTGAGTGCAAGTCAGTTTGTGCAGACACAGGGTGTGTGTGCTGCAGATACAACCATACCAGCTCCCGGGACAATCTTCCAGTATCCTTTTTGTTTTGAACTTTTATTTGTGGTGGAAAGGCTGAGTTGGTGAAACACAACAGTGTTTAATGGGATCCTTTTCACTTTGATGTGTACAAGCTTTGCCACAAGAGGAAAGCAAACAAAAAGCAACTGGTGACTAGGAGCTTTCATGGATATTTATCAAAGTGATTTGTTTAGGTGGAGGCCTTCCTTTATTTGTTTTCTAGAATCACGTTCTTGACCTTTATCAGCATGAGGAATTATTTTTTAATTCAAAACACCTCATTTATGCTTAGTTCTGAGATATATGTTCCATCACAGCCTTTGCCATTGTGGTCTGTGAATCAGCTACCAGCCAGGCAAATGGTGCTTCCATTTCCTGATGGGCATGAATAACCAAGTGGAAATTGGACATTTCCAGTCTGAGTGCTCAGTTTGAAGTGCATTTGTAGCCTGTTAATTCATGTAAGCCGTGCATTTAATGCACAGCTGCACAACTGCGCCAGCACACACAGCTGGGCTCTGGAAAAGCCCTGGGGAACACGACAGCCTGAGCTGGGAGCAGAAAGCAAATAAATCTGCTTTGGGTGCTTTGTGTCTGCTCCTAGGCCTGGTTCTCAAATGGTGAGGGACAGCCAGGGCTGCTCTGCACGCCTGACCACATCCAGGAGCTCTGGCACTCAGAAGCCATTAGGGAGGCAATTTCTTATTGAGCAGTGGGGTTGCTTTATGTCTGGGCAAAACTTTTGATCTATAGTGGTAAGAGATTTTACCACCAGCCTGCAGCTGGGTTCATTCATCACAGAAAGCAGCACAGTGTCACTCTGTGCAATAATCTACAGAGTATCCTGTACCCTGAGTATTCCCAAGTGCAGCTAGTTCTGCATCTCATAAAGGATGCAGGACCTGATTGGGAAAAGAAACATGAGGACTACAGAGCTATGGGGCTGCTCATGTTGGAGAGATGACTACAACTTAATCTGCAAAAAAGACAGCCAAAAAGGCTTGATAGATACCTATGAAATCATGTCAGACATGAGGAAAATGGAGAGGGATAGCCAGTAGTCAACAATTTGTCTCACCCAGTACAAGAAATCCAGGGCATAAAATGAGGCTAAATTTGGCAGCTCCAATCATCAGAAGCTGCTTTTCTCTTTTTTCCCCACAAGCTGTATTTAAGCAGCGGAGTTTATTGCCACAGGATGCTGTAATCTGCTAAAACTGTGCCTGTGTCTTAAAAATTCACTGGTTGTGTTCATGGAAGAAGAAAAAAATCCATTGAGGGTTACTAAAAGCAAGACATCATGTCTAGGTCAGAAAACCCATAAGCAGTAAATCATGAGTAGCTAAAACAATATTCTGGGAACATATCTCTAATTGCTGGTGTGCTTTCACAGAGTATCTGATTTCCTCCGTTCCTGGGAACAGGCTACTGGGACAGGTGAAAATTTGAGCTGCGCTGGCCCAGCTTTTCTGGTGGTTTTGCTGTTTTTGTTTGTTTTGGGTTTTTTTTTCCCACGCCACAAAAGCCATAATTCTGTTGGTTCCGTGAGTCCTGTCAGCTCACCTAACTCCAGAGCAAACTGTGCAGGGCAGGGCAGGAAAACAGGCTGTGCCCTTCCTCCCCTGCCTGCCATTGCCAGCCCTGCCAGCTGCACCAAGGAACTGCGAAGCCAGGTGAGCTAATCTCACAGGAATTTGCTGGGAATATTGGGAGAGATTTAATCTCACAGGAATTTGCTGGGAATATTGAGGGAGCAGCTCTGCTGGGCATGGCTGAAACCACTTTTGGGTGCTGTTGGTGCTGTCCTGGTGTGGGAGATGCTTTGTGTTTGGGACCAATCCCTTCAGCAAGGGAGGTGGATTCACTCAGGAAAGCCCTGACAATCAGGGTGGTGCAGGTCACCAAGGAAAGACCTGGGGGAATACGGATGCAGTCTTCAAAATCAACTGACTGCCTTTATTTCTGTGGATCCACAAGGCACGTCCTGAAATTGTACTAAATCTGCTTCTTCTGAGCGTTTTCAAAATAAGCGGAGGCAGAAATTTCCACCATGAAACTCTTCAGCACATTATTTGGAAATTAAAATGCTTCTGAAAAGGGGATAGATTTCCCTGGTGTTTTCTTCAGTGGACTAAGCATGGCATTAAATTACAGGGAAGCTCAACTATTATCTCATACTTTTCTTTTTTTTTTTTATTATAGACTTTTTATCCACATGAATGATAAAGAAACTACAACAGAGTTAAATACCTTTTTTGATAACAGTGATTATATTCTTAATTACACTCAATATTAAATTGTAAAATATTTCCAGAGGAGTACAATCGTAATTCATACAGCAGGCAAAATACCAGAGGGGGGGAAGGGACGAGGGAGAGGGGTGTGAGAATCTCCAGACTGCTTTTAAAAAGCACTGTGTATGGCTAACGCTGCTCTATCCGTCCGTCCGTCTGTCCACCCGTCCATCCAAACGTGGTTCTGGCCCATCTGGTGAGACGTTCACTCCCTTCCATAAAACAATCACTATTCCAAAGCAAAAGGTGAGCTGGCAGGTGTTGTCAGTGCCTGTGGCATTGAAAGGACCAGCAGTTCCTTTCACAGCTTATCTGCACGATTCAAAAGCATTTTTTTTTTCTCTATCAAGCTCAATAGTCCTTCTAAAAACACAAAGACTTAAACTTTGGTACCACCAAAAAAAAAAAAAAAAAAGAAAAATATCAAGGACAGGCATTTTTTTTTGTTGTTTTGTGTTTACTAATAAATGGCTGCTACATTCTATTTGACATGGTTGTCCATGATACTATGAGGTCACTTGTCCTTAGGTTCAGAGGAACCTGATTTTTTTTTATTTAGATCCCCAAACACTTCCATTTCACAGTCTATATACAAGTCAGGTTTCTGACTGGGTTATAACTTATAAGGTAACAGCTGCAAAAGCTCCTGTGCTTCTGGGAGTAGAAAAAAAAATAAAAAAGAGAGGGAGAAAAAGAGAGAGAGAGAGAAATTATTATCAACATTAAGCCAAAGTTTCAGACACTGACAGAATTATGGCATTTATTTACAACCCTTGGGAAAGGGACACACACGTGGGTCACCTGCTCTAGCAGCACCCCCTGAGATTTTGACATTTTGATCATGGTTATCTGCTTACTCTGTACTTACTCCTACTAATTTTATTTTTAAGAATCTGCTTCTTCTACAGCCCAGGCAAACCTCCATCATCTTTCCTATCAAGCCCTTCTTAGATACTCTCTTGAATACCTCTATTTTGTGCATTTCTGAGATCTCTGTGTATGAGCAGCTCTTCTTTTTCTAATTCCCCCTACTTCTCCTCGGGGATTTTTTTGGTGAATCCACAAGCCAGACTTTGTGGCACAACCCAGTGAGTACCTGTGGGTCCACGTGGAAATATTGTCAATAAAGGTGCAGTGCAAACTTTAACTGACTGCAGTGCGATTAAACGCAGCCCGATCTGCTGTGGGGAGGAGCAGATGGGCTCAGGGCAGCAACTGAGGGGTTGCTCTGCCAAAGAGAGAGTTGGAAACCCCTGGGAGTTCTGCGAGGGCAGGGATGTGCAAACACGAGGGCAGGGATGTGCAATCACGTTTCCTCTTGAGGAGACTTCTCCTTCTTGGCACATCAAGGACACAAAACTGCTTCTGAAGAGCAGAGCAGTGGTTCTCTGGCTGGCTGGCTCAGCTTAGCACTTAAGCAACAGCAAATCTTCCAAAAGCACCGGGGCTGCGTGGAGACATCCCCATGGTCCGCGGGGATGCGGCAGAAGCAGCGTGAGGAGCGCATCCATCCTTGCCACCCTCGCCAAAGGGAATGGATGCTCGCTGCCAGCACTGCCCCTGCAGGGACTGGGAGCTGCTGGAAGCCCGGGGATGGGAGCAAGCTGCTCCTCTCCTCCGATGCTGCCATCCTCAGGCAGGTTTTTACTGAGCATCCAGCCCTGCAGACGCGGCGCTAGGGCAGGACCTGCTGCTCCTGACCTGCTTGTTTTATTCGGGGTGTGAACGACGCTGAGTTTGTTTTAAATCAGCAGCGCTCAGATTGCTGTGGGCTCGATTGGAAAACGCTGGCAGTCAGTAGGGAAGTGTGCACAAAGCCAGAAGAGACCAGCTCGGGGCTCAGAATAATCTCCTTATCTTGGCAGGCAGAGCTCTGGGCCACAGATCGTGGCTGTCTGGTTACTCTGTGCTTACTCCTACTGCTTTTGTTTTTAAGAATCTGCTTCTTCTACAGCCCAGGCAAACCTCCATCATCTCTCCTATCAAGCCCTTCTCAGATACCCTCTTGAACATCTCTGTTTTGTGCATTACTGAGATTTCTGTGTATGAGTAGCTCTTCTTTTTCTAATCTCCCTAGTTCTCCTCAGAGATTTTTTTAGTGAATCCACAAGCCAGATTTTGTGGCATAACACAGCAGCAGGGCTACCAGCTTTTGGCATCTGTCTCCAATCCCTAATCTTCTTGTTTTACCAGGAAAAAACCCAAGAGAATATCATTTAAATGTTAAAACTTCAACACCCAAAACTGGAATCTCTCAAGCCACTGATGGTGAAGGTGTTTCTACTAAATGAACCCTTTGAATAGACAGTCCTGAAAAATGTAGTGTTTGGTTTGGGAAGGCTCTGCACATGGGCAGCAGAAGAATTACCTTCTGTAGGACACTGAGCTTCAGAACCACAGTCAGGGGGTTCTGTGGGACTCCCAAAATATGCTGATGCACTGCTTTTTCCAGGGGCTAAAGCAGTTCCATTAAGGGCAGAAAAACTCCTCCCTACCTGGAGCGTGAACATTTCTTTTTGCACTCTGAATGCCAAGGTATTTCCCTCCTTCCACTGAAGGTACATTGACATTGATGACACTTTGCAGTGTCAGGAGAAGCACAAGCTCAGGCAGTTAGAGGCATGGAATGGTTTGGGTTGAAAAGAACCTTAAACATCCCCTCATCCTACCCCTGCCATGGGCAGGGACAGCTCCCACTGTCCCAGGCTGCTCCCAGCCCCATCCAGCCTGGCCTTGGGCACTGCCAGGGATCCAGGGGCAGCCGCAGCTGCTCTGGGCACCCTGGGCCAGGGCCTGCCCACCCTCCCAGGGAAGGATTTCTTCCTAATATTTAATTTAAAGCTTCTTTAAGATTTAATTTAAAGCTACTCCCAGTTTGAAGCCTTTGTCCTGTCACTGCAGGACCCATAGGTCAGCTCCCAGCACTGCATCCCACCCCAGAGAAGCCTTGTAATTTGTGCCACATGTGATTTATCAGCTTTAGACTGCAGCACAGAGAGGGCTTTGGGACCAGAACCAGGCACATCAAACAACAGAATGATCCTCTTAATTCCTGCAATGGCTGCAGGGGAGCACAGGCAGCCAGGTCAAGTGGAAGGAAGTCTCTTTCTCACAAGCTCACCTTTAGCTTTTGCTGAGGTGTGCACCGAGCTTTTCTTTCCTGATCAAGCTTGCTGCATAGGGAATCTGGAATGACACAGAAACAGAGACACTGCTCAAGCCAAGGTTTGGCTAAGGAAACACCCAAGCTGGAGATCCCTGTAAATGAAAGGTTTTGTTTTCCTTCCTGAAAATGGGGAGGAATTGTAGGAAACAACGCCTTAAATACAAAGGTTCAACTCTTTATGAAACCTCAGGGAGGTTGAAGCAGAAATAAAATTTTAAATGACCAGAATTAAAACAACACATAGAATCTTAAAAATCTGTGTAAAAGATGCATTCTGATGCTTTGTTTGTATCAGAGGCTGACAAAGGATAAAGCCACCTGTGAGATCATAAAAAGTCAGCTGTCTGTGGCAGATCAGGCGATGCACACTGATCCCTGCTCAGCCACAATACAGCAGGTTGGGAGCGTGAGACTTCGTGTATTTATATCCCCCTAATTAGGAAGTTCATAATAGTTATCTCCAACTTGCACCAATCTGAAGGGAAGCCACTGAAGTGGAACAAATAATTAAAGAAAAACAGAGAACATGGGCATATTAGGGAACACTGTTATATTTAGAAACAAAGTGGGATGATGTGCTCATTGGCCAGAGGGAATACATTACAGGGCTGCTCTTCTTCAGTGCTGGGCCTTTAGAATGCAACAAAACTAAATTGCTCTGAGATTTCCCCATAGCTGGGAATCCAACTGGCTACAGATTCTTTGATGATGACTTTTGGAGGGACTGCTGAAGGAATTAAGGCTGGGAGATCAAAAAATCCTGTGTCCCTGCGCTCCTAGGTGCTGCTGCACACTGAGCTGACCTGCTTCTGCTGCCAGGCACTCCAGAACATGCTCACAAATAATGTCAAATATGTCACTGCAAGATGGCAATTCTGTCACCTGAAGTCAGGATCAAGGCCTTAACCTGCACAAACAGCAGAAGGAACAGATGGGCAAATGCAGAGAGTTCAAGCAACCTGCCCCACACGCAGTGAATTTACATCCGTATCCACTGACCCCACATGTTCCTGTACACCCCTGTTTTGACTTTAAATACATTATGCCCATAATTATTTTAAATACACTATGCCCATCCATTATGAGGGTGTTTGTGTGAATTGTGCCCAGCCATTGTGCCTCTGGGCTGGGGTAAAGCATCATGCCTGCAAAGACAGAGAGACCTATCCATCCCTGCCTACCTTAACCAGGAAAAAGAGGAGGGAAGGATTGGGATGAGAGGAGAGAGAGGGGCTTTTGAAGTTTAGACATAACCCTTTCATGTCTTGGGGAAGGAGGTCAGTCTGGCTGAAAGCAGCAGCACCAGGATGCAGCAGTGTCTGTGGCTGAATGAAAGCAGAAACCTTTCACAGGGGTGTGCTGCTTCCCCCTGCACTGCCCTGGAAAGGGGAAATGTGTGTGCACAAATCACTGCTGACCAGAACAGACCAAGATTCCAAGTGTTTTGTCTGACTACTCTTATAATCCCTACCCCTGACGGAGGATAACAGGAATCAGGAATTTTGTGGCCGGATCCCTCCCCAAGAAGCAGAGCTGTCCCCTCCATGTCCCCATGCACAGCGGCCTTCAGGAAAGGGAGATTGCAAAGGCTGCAAAACTCCTTCCCAAGCTGCAGCAGAGAGGGGGTGCAGAGAAGCTGCTTCCCTGATCACCTCTGGCCATGGTTTGGATGCAAAAGGAAGCCACAAGCAAAGTGCACAGAAAGAATCAGCACGTTCCAGCTGGGACCTGTGGTGCCTCGCCAGCTGATTCCTGCCTCCCTCCCACCCACGAAGGCCAACTTGGGTTTGCATGGCCACAAATTATGTAGGACATCTCCCAGGCTGTACTGACCTAGATAATACAGCGGGGTACATTCTGTCAGAAATTAACTGTTCTTAATCCACTTCTACGCTATATTTGGCATCTTTCTAACGCGTGTTGTTTTACCTGATCTCCTGGCAATTGATGGCAGTGGGAGAGGTGGGTGTTCAACAGGGAAATGACTGCTTTCTCCATGAGTTAAATCATCTACAATGTCATGTTCTATTTCTGTCGTTGTCAGAGCATTCAGTAACTCTGATGCTGTGGTGGAAGAGGATTTAGGGCTCTTCCTGGCATAAAGGTGGCCCTTTTAAAAAGGTGTACAGAAATAATAAAAGTGAAGGCAGTTAGTTGGGTTTTAAGCAGCAAAAAACCCAGTTTTTGTGACCAGGTCCACATTAGTAGGAAACACAAAGACAGCAGATCTGAAGAGAAACTCCAAGCAAAATGCAATATGGACGCTGCGGACATATTTATATATATGTGTAATACGGACAATATTGCTACACGCTGACTCCAGTCTAATCCTGGTACCCATTAGGAACCAGAGCACAGTCCCCTGTGCATTCCTGGAGCACATTTCCATTTATTCCACCTGGAAGGAGCCCACTCAGCAAGCCTGGAGCCTGCCCCATGACTCAAACCAAAGCACAGGCAATGGATAGGATTGAGGAGTAATTTCTGAAGTTCCTGTCTGATCCCTGTTTACACACTCAGATATCGAAGAAATTTCACCATCCTCTTTCAGAGGCTTCACCTCTGCATCCCATCTCTGCTGAGGTACACGATTTTACATCACCCTGCCTTCTGTTGCCTAGAAAAAATATTTTGCGCTCATGCAGAAGCTGAGGCTGGCTTGTGGCTCCCTGCACATCCACACCCATTTTTGATGAGAATTTCTGCAGATTCTAAAGGAAAGGAAGCTTTCTGCTTAAATTTCTACAAGGCATTCTTTTCTTTAACATTTGAATTTACTGGAGAAAGAGGCACAGCTCCATCCTATCCACCCAAGGCATATCCACATGTGGTGTCAGGATACAAGTTTTGCTCACCTGTCTTTGAAAAAAAGAGCAAAACGAAAAGAAAACCAACCAAAAACCTGACAGCAAGAAATAAAATTCTGGTGAAAAGAGCTCACTTTCCTGTACACAATGAGAGATGAGCCTTTTGAGGACACAGGACACAGCGTTCCAGAAATGTTCTTTCACCTGTCATTATCTGTGTGCCTGTGAGCAGGCACTTCAGCACAAGATGCCACTCAAGAAACCCGAGAGCCATTCTGCTCAACAACTGTTTGCATTCCCTGCAAGGTCAATCATCTGAGCTGCACCACTTGAGGCCAAGCACAGAAATCACAAATGGCACTGAAGCACTGCCGTTTCCCATTTCCTGCTTTTGAGAACCCAGATGTCCCCACACAGAAACGTGGGTGGTTCTTGTTTGGATAATGAATACATGAGTTGTACAAAAGCTTTTCCATAAGCAGTGTAAACCAGGAATTGGAATGGTGCTCTTCTGAATTACAGTGCAACCCAGAGGGACAGGCTCTCATGGCTCTGAAGATTTACCAACATTAACCACATGGTGGATTTTTTTTTTCCTCCCTTCTTTTAAACACTCTGTCAATCTCTAAGGATCAGGGTGAAAGATGATGCAGAGATGGAAATCGGTTTTGCAGAGAGATAGTTCCTGATTTATTTTATTGCCTGACTCTGAAGAACAGAGTTGATTTAAAGGAGCACTGAGAGCAGAAATTCATAAAACACAGAGCAGTTCCAGATGGATCCAGTTCTGAGCTCTGAACATTATTATCAGCCTGAAGTGAGGCTGGTAAGGAAGAATTCAGTTTGTGGGAGCATAACCTAATTAAAATATCCCAAACAAAACCAAACCATCATTTTTCACTTAATCTGGAAAGACAAAGGCCTGCCTGAGTGTTTCACATTTCTAACACACCTCAAAAATCTGTCACCTTTTACCCCAATGTAAAATCAGTGGGATTGATCATCACCCAATGATCTAAACCACCATGGGTGATGAACAGCACCTGAGCTTTCCCTGATGGACAGGTCAGCACTGAGAACCCACAAACTACTTGTAAGGCACCTCTGAGAGAAAATTAAGAAAAGCTCCCCAGTTTGCAGGAGGCTTAAATTTCCTGCTCGGCATTCTACTTTCCTGTGGCCATGTTTGAGAGAGGTTCATGAAAACTTTAAAGGATGAAAATCATAATGCTGGCAGTGCTGCTTCTGATCTTTTTCTCTCAGCAGGCAGCTGGCAGAAAGTTCATGGTTTTAATGTCTGTTCCACTAACACAGTTGCTCAGAGGACAATATCAGACAGATGCAGAGTCTCGGGCAGAGGTGACTTGGTACTTGGTTACGGTGCTGGGCTGTTCCAGCAGATGAGTTCTGGTCTCATTGGACAGAAACTAAAAACTCTAAAGGCAGGTGGGCTCTTCTAAGGGTGCACCACGTGTGTGATGTCTGAATTTCCCCCATCCTGCCGAGCAGTTCCTCCTCTCTGGCCCTTTCTGTACCACTCATTAACAAAAGCCAGATGACCCTCAGAATCATTTGGTTCAAAAAGATCTCTAAGATAATTGAATCCAACCTTGCTACCAAAGCCCAGCTCACCACTGAGCCATGTCCCCAAGTGCCACATCCACACAGCCTTTAAGCCCCTCCAAAGATGGGGACACCACCTCTGCCCTGAACAGCTGACCCCAGTGCTTGACAGTGAAGAATTTTTTCCTAATATCCAGTTTAAACCCTTTGTGGCACAACAGGATCCACATGCAAAATCCACATTTTATATATGATCCCTTGTACACACCCTGTACTCAGCCAATTTGGGAGGCAGCACTTTGCCAGATGAGGAAGAGAAAAATGCATTCAGGGAGTCTAAGATCCATTTTCTTGTTAAATACGATGATTGGTTGTTTCCTAGCATTTAGCCAAGATCCTGGCACATGCAGGTTGCAAAACTTCCTGGTAGCTGCTTCAGACACTCGGAAAACTCTGAAAACTGAAACACAGGAAATTCCACCTGGACATCAGGAAGAAATTCCTTACTGGAGCCGTCTGCATGGAGAGGCTGTGGAGCCTTCCTCACTGGAGGTGCTCAAAACCTGCCTGGAAATCCGTTCTGAGCAATGTGCTCTGCGGGACTCCACTCCAGCAGGGAGCTTGGACTCGGGGACCTCCAGCGGCCACTCGCAGCCTCACTCATTCTGTGATTCCCATCAAAACGAATGGCCACTCACCATCCTGCTGCTCCAGCAGCCCTCTGAGCCAGGCTGCCTGCAAAGAACCCAAATCCCGCCAGTGAAGATGTAAAAGAACAGAGCTTTTTCCCAGCGTTTTCCCAGCGACCT